CTTATATAGCATGTTGCCATGGCTTGTTTAAATCTCCCCCCCCCGAGGAAACTATGAGCAAGAGGACGGTGCAATACGTCGTGAAACCTGGTACTGAAAGAGTGATTGGCTATTTCACGCACTCGGCCTTTAGGCCAACACAGTTCGACTCGAGTGCAATCCATCATCAAAGAATGTGGCGTTCCGGCGAAATCGCTTCAAAATCAGTATAGTTTTAAGATTAGGTCAAAATCTAACATTCATGGGTAGCGAGGTGTTCTGCAGAAAATCGCAAGTTAAGTACCCCGTAGTTATCCTGGAGGAAAGCATGCAGAGGGGAAAGCGAGATGCAAACATGGTTCAGAAACTGTGCAAAGCTTCATCATTGCTTAAGGCGCTTTTCAAGGTTCGGATACCGTGAAAAACTCTGCAGCCTTTCACGAAGATACGCGTACGGCCTGTAATACAATGGTCGCGCCAATTCAATTCCGTAAGATGACCCAGAATGAGGAGTTGATGTGGAGGAGTGGTACGAAAATGGCAACTTTGCATAGTAGTCTAGGTCCGAAGGAACAGATTATTATTACTATCGCTAGAAACATGGTAAAAGCCGTGCTTCATTTCGATAAAGATGTTGGGCGATCCATCAGCAGCTTCCTACCTAAGTTACAGTCAGCCAGAAACCAATTTAGACCTTCTGTTCATGGTAGGGAAGTTTACAGATGGTCGATATTAAGTTTTATCGTCAGATATTAGATCAAGAATATAGGTTTGCCTCGACTGTCTGAAATCTCAATTCTCATGTGTAATTTAGCCTATCGTAACATAAAATGTTCAAGTCGTAAATTTGCATATACTTCTGTACATTACTTTCTTACTGTTCACGCGGTGTACCCCAGGGCAAATAGTTGCTCTACTGACTCATGAACAAATTATACTGAACTGAACTGACATGGATTAGCTGACTCGTCTCAGAACGCCCAGTTTAGCCGCTTGTAGCCGGGATGGTGAGAGACACATAGCCACCGATAAGCATTCGGATGAAAATCGAATTGAAAACAGATGTCTGCAGCTATCAGACTCAGTTCTGCTTCAGTCACAACGGTTCAAGCTGGTTTACGCTGAACGTCACTGGCTATTCCAATCGGCCGGTCGATCTCTTCCTCCAATTTTCCGTCACCAGTAAACAAGACCTCCAGGTACGTGAACTTTCCACCTGTTCCACTAGTTCTTCCCTTACCTCTAGCGTTCAGCGGCCATAAGAACGAGAAAGCTCCAGGAACTTCGTTCGACACATCTTCTCACACATGTTACCAACGTCGCACATGACTGTGAACCTCTCCAAAGAGCGCTGGAGATCAGTTTCAGAAGATATTAATGAAATAAGGTCGCCTGCAAACAACAAACTTCTCGTCTCGACCCAGAGGGCAATTTTATAAAGATTATTTTTACAAATTCTACTTGGAATAATTCAGCACAAAATGTTTTCAGTCTTGAGCCCAGGACTAACAATAATGAATTATTAAGGGTTTTCAATTATCCAATTAATGTTGAAATTTGTCTGTATGAAAAAACTGATATTATATCGAAATTTAGAATTAAACAGTTTCGAACTAGTAAATATTTACCGTATTATTATCTGAATATTCGAATGGTTCTGCCGTATCTTTATTTTCTTTAGCACAGTCTGCATTCGCATGAACCAAAACCCTCAATATAAGCTCGCAGCCTATTCTGCAAGGTAGTATACTCATAAAAAACCCGCATTACGTGGCAAGCAGCGGCTTATTGCCACCTCGCATGAAACATATGTATATCCGAGATCAGGTGACAGTGTTTTCCAACGTCCGACTATCGAAAAGGGCGGTTTTTCGGCTTCTGAACGGTACTACTATTAGTAAAACAATTCGCCCGCAATCAGTTTCAAGGGATGATCAGGAAGGACGAAAGGAACAAATCTGTCTAGCGTACATAAGAAGTTGGACAGTTGCTCATCAGTAACAGAGACAGGGGAACGAATGAACTGCGTTGGATATTGCCCTATCATATTTTATGATAACGAGCCCCATTTTTAGGTCATCCTTATGTTGTGGAACTCATGATAAGATGCCACCAGTCAGCAGTAAGTTACTTGATCGCGAGTTTTCGTGATCACAATTAAACTGATGAATGAACTTCCAGAGACGTAACAGAACGCGGGTCCGTTCCACTACTGATCATATTGAGGTCGTTTTATTCACCAAAATGTACCATGTGCATTATTCGCTTCTTTTACAAGTGAAAGACGAGATAAATGGAAACTGATTGAGAACTTTTACAGCCCTTATTATGCCACCAAGCATTTCGGAAGCAGACACCATACATTTTCACATTTTCAACAACCCGGCACCTTAAACCGGAATTCGTCTAATGTAACACAGTTAAACTTCACAAATTTTAAATTCGAAGGAGGCGAGAAACAACTGGAATCACACAAAATATGATCAGT